TGTACATAAAACCTAAAGGAAAGTATGACTGGTAGTAGGAAAAACCTACAAATTTTATCAACCAAGAAGGTAAGAACTCAGTAACAAAATATGTCATAATACAAATGACTCATATCCATTTAGAATCATAGAATCATAGAATCGTTAGGGTTGGAAAGGACCTTAAGATCACCTAGTTTCAATCCCCCTGCCATGGGCAGGGACACCTAACGCTAAACCATATCACCCAAGGCCTTGTCCAACCCGGCCTTGAACACTGCCAGGGATGGAGCATTCACAGCCTCCCTGGGCAACCCATTCCAGTGCCTCACCACCCTAACAGGAAAGAATTTCCTTCTTATATCCAACCTAAACTTCCCGTCTAAGTTTTAGCCCGTTACCCCTTGTCCTGTCACTACAGTCCCTAATGAAGAGTCCCTCTCCAGCATCCCTATAGGCCCCCTTCAGATACTGGAAGGCTGCTATGAGGTCTCCACGCAGCCTTCTCTTCTCCAGGCTGAACAGCCCCAACTTCCTCAGCCTGTCTTCATGCGGGAGGTGCTCCAGTCCCCTGATGATCCGTGTGGCCCTTCTCTAGACTTGTTCCAACAGTTCCATGTCCTTTTTATGTTGAGGACACCAGAACTGCACACAATACCCCAGGTGAGGTCTCACAAGAGCAGAGTAGAGGGGCAGGATCACCTCCTTCGACCTGCTGGTCACGCTCCTTTTAATGCAGCCCAGGATACGGTTGACTTTCTGGGCTGCAAGTGCACACTGAAACTGCCCCATGTTCATTTTCTCATCAACCAACACCCCCAAGTCCTTCTCCACAGGGCTGCTCTGAATCTCTTCTCTGCCCAACCTGTAGCTGTGCCTGCGATTGCTCCGACCCAGGTGTAGGACCTTGCACTTGTCATGGTTAAACTTCATGAGGTTGGCATCAGCCCAATGCTCACAAGCGTGTCCAGGTCCCTCTGGATGGCATTCCTTCCCTCCAGCGTATCAACCGAACCACACAGCTTGGTGTCATCAGCAAACTTGCTGAGGGCGCACTCAATCCCACTGTCCATGTTAGCAATGAAGATGTTAAACAAGACCGGTCCCAACACCGATCCCTGAGGGACACCACTTTTTACTGGTCTCCAGCTGGACATTGACCCATTGACCACAACTCTTTGTGTGCAGCCATCCAGCCAGTTCTTTATCCACCAGGTGGTCCATCCATCAAATTGATGTCTCTCCAATTTAGAGACAAGGATGTCGTGTGGGACAGCACTGAACGCTTTGCACAAGTCCAGGTAGATGACATCAACTGCTCTACCCCTGTCCATCAGTTCTGTAGCCCCATCATAGAAGGCCACCAAATTGGTCAGGCAGGATTTCCCCTTAGTGAAGCCATGCTGGCTGTCACCAAGCACCTTGTTGATTTTCATGTGCTTTAGCATGCCTTCCAGGAGAACCTGCTCCAAGATTTAGCCAGGCACAGAGGTGAGACTGACTGGTCTGTAATTTACAATGCCTTTGTGTACTGTAAAACACTGACACCAACTTTGAAAAGTAATTCAAACATTTTTGGAAAAAAAGGGAAGCATTGTGACTATTTCTCCAGTTTGCCCAGTAAGAACACTGACCTACCTAACCTGACTGATTTCCCTGAAACATACTCCCTTTCTCCTATTAAAAGTCACAGTGGTTGTTTGTCAAATAGGAGTTACTTTAATCACAAAATTAGACAAAACACATCTCATGTCAAATTCTGCACTGCATTCACTCCAAACAGTTGAGAGGGCCAATTCTGCCAAACGCTTTGATTCCCTGGAGCATCAAGCTGTTAACTACATATGTATGCATGGAAGTAGGTCGAGAGTACTATTCTGTTACACACTGTAATGCAGCAAATGAGCTCTTTAAACAGAGCAAGAATTCACATAGTATTTAAACAGAAAGTTTGCAAGGAAAGAACTGTTTTCCAAAAGATGTTTTCTCTCTGCAAATCTAGCTTATGTGATGTCCTCAAATGAAATCTCCAATCTATAATCTAGAACTCTTTTCATTCCTTATCACCATTGTCAGCCTTAACTTTATTTTTAGATACCCTGTCACATAAATGTTCTGCAACTGAAAAATTTCCATCTTTCTGATTTCCTACTGTTCTGAAGAAGAGATTAAGAGATGGAACTAAAACTGACAGACCTGTTAAAATGAGGCAGTGAGCTTTTAATGGTTTTCCTTTTTATGTGACAGCTCAGATCATCCCTCGTTTCAGTGGGGAATGAAGAAAATGCTCTTCAGCTTTTTACCCTCCCACTTGAGGACAGACCTTTTCTAGCCTTATTCAATAATCCCATTCTTCAAATATCTTGCTTTAATATTAGAAGAAGGACAAGCCCACAGCAGCTCTGTTAAAAGTTCTTCTAGTAATATAAAGAAGCCACAATATTACTTTCAACAAAGATTATTTTCTTTCCCAATAGAATGATGAGTTTATAAGCAAATTGCTTAGCTTTTAACAGTATTTCTCTAAAACTCACCACATCAACCATAAATCGAGGTCCAGCCAGACCCAGCTGGACATCATCTGCAGAACAGAGCCATACCCATTTAAGGAAACAGTGGAAGGATGAAGGAAAAGTTGCTGCCTATAAATCTACAGCGATCTCAATACTGGCAAGTAGGTAGAAGCTGTCAAGCTGTCAAGAATAAAATCAGTAAACTTATAAATAATGTAATGCTAAAGATTGGACATGGCTGTTCTAACAGGAAGATGTGCTTCCCAAATCCTTCTTTGAACCAATGAGCACAAAAAAAAAGTAAATCCTAAGCTCATCCCTGGCTGCTCTGGTAATTACCCTGTATTCCACCCAGGGTATCTGTCTTGCTTACACCCTCTGCAGGCTTCCTTTTTGTGTTTTGAGTTTGTTCAGGAGCTTGATGTTGATTCACACAGGCCTACTGGTGGTTTTGCCTGACCTCCTCTTTGGAAGTTGGGATGAAATGCTCTAGATCCTTCTAGAAAAGAAGGCAGTATCTGCAGCAACTTTCTCTGCAAGAGCCTTAGAGGGCAGAGAAGGCTGCCAAGCTTTGGAAGACAAGCAGAATTCTTCACTTTGACTACAGATAACCCAGGAAGGTCTGAGATCTCTGTCCCTCTGAAAATGCCTGCTAGACAGATACTTCCTTGAAGTTGCTTCTAGTTCAGATTAATTCTTCTTCTCTTTATTAGAAAAAATAGACAGATACCTGAAAAAGAGTTTTGTCTTTCCAAAGTATGTGCCCAAATTCTTTCATCATGCTCTACAGACTCCTTCCAGTGTAGACGTAATTGTCTTTAATTCTGGACACAGTAATCAAAAGCAGCTGAAGCAGCTGTAAAATACTGAGTTACTCAAGTCATTTTATTCCTACACAAGATTCACCTATCTATACATCCTTTAATATCTCATTATTTACCATTCCCTTTTTCTCTGTGTCATCAAGACATCTTTATCAGAAATTATTTTTCTGTTTTCTCCTAGGTGACTAAGCACAGTAGATCAAATGAACAAGTGATTTTCACGACACCTTGTCTGAGACACATTTCTTCAGTGCTTATGTTTCGTAAACTGATAGCTAGCCAGTTAATTCTTCAATGTGTACCTTGTTCATGCCCTGACTTGTCCAGCATGTATATATTTTTTGCATAGCAAACTATGTAATATACAGGATTTTGATAAAAATACCTTCACCAATGAAACCTGTATTTTATCTTATTTTTTTGCATTAGCTTTAAGAGCTATTTTCAGTAAACTCATAGGCATTCATTGTAACATGCTTCTCACATTTAATTCTTAATAAGTTGAATGCTATTCCATAATTTTTCACTTAACTGATCTCAAACTGCAAGCCCACAATTACTTGCATTGTCCTAGTTGTTCTTTTCAAAGATTTGCACAGGAACTGCTTTCTTGTAGCCTTCTAGAGCACTCCAAGGTTGGTAAGAAATCAATATAATTGGTTCAAAGCTCTCTGTGCTCCTTTATTTTTACTTTTTTTTTTTTTCCTAATGTGAATTACTCCTGACAGTGAACTTCAATGTATATAAACTATGTAGATATATTTCAGTCATCCAAATTACTGTTTTAATAGGAGTCTATATGATCACATAATTTATCTGGAGAACAGGAATATGTATCATTATACTCCAAAGACAGGACACTCTTTTCTACTTGTTATGACAACTCAATCATTTCTGTCTATTAATCAACTGGAGGTGGAAAGAGAGTAACAAGAAAAAGGAAGAGAAGTGGAAATGGCTTTGTTTAAGGCAATCATTTATACTACATGTAGAAATAAATGTAAAATGAAAACTGAATGCCAGAACCACAATAAAATCTGCAACTGATAGCCAGAGAACCACCTATCTTGTTGCAGTATTCTACCTTCTGCATTTCTCCTAAGCAATGAAAGTCTGTACAAGCTGGACCAATCTTTTCATTTATTACCTCAACTTCCCCATGTGCAAATTGGAAAAAAAAATAGAGTTTTCTTTGATCAGAGGTGATCGAGAGGTATGAGTGAAAATTTATGCACACACATTGCCTGTTGAATGGTCAGCTGGCCTGTTTTCCAAATAATTATTTAAAGACACTTGTGCTTAATCTCACAGCAGAGCTTCCTCTGAGGGTTTCTCTTCCTTTGGAAACCTCTCTGCCATCAAAGCAAATAAAGTTTTACTGCATCACTGAAGCAGTGATTACTACATTACACGGAAGCAGACCTCTGCTATCAACCTGCTCTTTAGTAAACCTTACCTGAGCCTAACTTTTCTCATATGCATCTTAGGAGATACAAAATGCAAGGTTATTAAAAATACTTCACGTTATCCAGTACTGCAGAGACACTGCACTCTCCACATGCTATCTAAATAAAGCTTTAAAATAGTATTGATTAGTGACTTAGATCAGAACATGGTTAGCAGGGCAAAATACAGTCTTAGCAAAATATGGAACACACTTTAAAATTCAGAGTACTGACTGTACCTTACAGATTTTGTATAGAGATTCCTGACCATCTCCTTCTGTATCTTTGAAATAATCATGTGCTGGAAATGTACGATGAATATCTCGTGTAATGACACTCTCTTGAGCAGAATCCTGTTAGAAAAGAAAGAAAAATCCCAATGTATTAGCCCAGTAACAGTGTAATCAAACATAACAGAATATAAAATTCAATGTGCAGTCAACGTGGATAAATTAGATAACTGCTTTACTGACTCATCCTACAAAAATGCTTTGAGATGAAACTGAAAATCCTCCAGTCTCATATGCAGTAATAATTTGACAGTTTAACAAGAGCGACATGTCATGTTTTCTTGTCCTTTAGGCTTACAGTTTAACTTTAAAACTCATAGGAAATTGCTAGTTATCCAATTGCAGGTGCATTTTTACCATAGGACATATGCTTACTGTATCTCAGGGAATAAAAAAAAAAAATAAAAAAAAATTAGACTGTCTCTCTCCTGCAAGCTCAGAAGTATCAATTTAAAACGTATATCAGTCTGCCATAAAAAACGTGTTAATTACAAATCAGAACTATTACTTAGGAACATTCAATGTTCACCATTAACTGGTCTTCAAAAGAACAAAAAAGAGAGGAAGTACCAGAAAACATTATACTTTCAGATGAATCCCCTATATTTCCCTGCTACCATCTCAAATTCAATTATATTTTTACATTGACTAGCAACCAAGGACAAGTTCAGGTGCTTAAACACTGGTGTCAGATGCCATTTTAGAAGCCTGACGATTATCTTGCCTGGTAAGCAGCAGCTACTGCAGAAGGATACAAGTCTGCTGCAAAGGCTGCATCACGTCTGCAAAGCTCCATGCGGATGATCTTAATATACAAAGGCAGCTAAAATTACATCAAATACCCACATTTAGGCAACTGACGTATCATGTTCCCTAGACATACCTAGTGCTATAGACAAAGAAGCAATTGCTTACAATACTGCATAGCTTTAGTTAGAAAATAAAATATTACACAAAAGCTTTCAAATCCTCAGAGTGCAGTTTGTAATCCACGACTCTCTATAACAAAGCTTCTTTACACCTGCTGGAGTCAGCAGTTGGGAAACTCCCAAATTTAGCTGGTTTCCTAATGCCATAAAGACTCTACAGTGAGCCTATGCCATAGAATCACAGAACAGTCTGGGCTGGAAGGGACCTTCAAAGGTCATCTGGTCCAACCCCCTGCAATGAGCAGGGACATGTTCAACCAGATCAGGTTGCCCAGAACCACATCCAGCTTGGCCTTGAATGTCCCCAGGGATGGCACATCCACCACCTCTCTGGGCAACCTGTGCCAGTATTTTACCACCCTCATTGTAAAAAATTTTTTCTCATACAGCAACACAGCTGCCTGCAGGGGCTTAGCCAGAAGTTCACAGCAATTACTAAGTACAGTTTCCTTTTGAGCCCATCCATAACAAATACACACAAAGACATTACCCTGGGTTATATCAGGCTACCCCAAAGATCAAAACCCATCATTATATTTCTCCACTCACTTTAATGGCAGCTACAAAATAGCTAAAGTCATAATGCACATAAACATTACTTCAATATGTTTTGTAACGGCATTCTACTGAGTATCTCAAGTAAAAAAAAAAAAAAATGGGGTGGTCTTTTTTTTATCAAACCTAGTTATCTTCTATTTTTTTTTTTATCAAATCTAGTTATCTTCTCATCTGTGTTCTCATTTCCTTCCATTTTTTCCACCATCCATGCTAAACTGTGGCTTCTTCTTTTCTCCCCATCCTCTCTGCACCTGGCACAATCTTCCAGTTTTGCACAAAGAAGTCTTCCTCTTTTTTCCCCTCACAAATCTCTCCCTAAAGTTCACAACTTCTCTGAATCTTTGCTATCATTAACTTATCCATTTACAGTGTCTTAATTTTCAGTGATCTCATCTGTTGCTTTCCTTTTGCTTCACAATAACATCTTCAGTACAACATCTTTAGAAAACAATTTGATCTGTATTTGCAACATACCAGGCATATTGTTCCGTACTACAAAAAGGAAAACCTACAAACAGAGGTGATGTTTTTATTATGCAACCAAAACTAACAGCAGTCTAAATCACATGCAACAAAACACAGAATAATAATAAAAAAATAATAAGCAGTTCTCTAATTAGACTTCTTTAATGAACATTTTCATTTACATGGCTTGCAAACACAAGAGAGATTAAATAACTGCAGTCTTCCTCTCAGATTGATCTGACAACTTAGTTACACTGTGAAGAAATGCCTTAAACAGCATTTAAGATCTACTGGTATAGGGCAGTTACAGAGTTCATTATCAATATCTGTTACGTTAATTCCTCAGCACAAATTTGAAAAGACCCAGGCATTTTAAAGAGAGTTACAGGCAGACCACCACATCCAGCACACATATATCACTTTTCTGTCAAGGTGGGAGATTGTATTTGACTTCCCTGTACTTCCGTCTTTAATTGAGAGGCCAGTGTACAACTGAGCATACAGAAGTTGACAAAGCAGATGTCTGAGGTAGGACGAAAAATATGTGTAAATTATTAAATGCAAAGATGCAAAGATTAAATGCATTAAATGTGAATGAAATTAAATTTTATTAAATGCAAATTAACTTTTACTGAGTTAAAAGGAGCCTGAAGCAGAGTCTTCATTCAGTGTTAGTAACAACAGATGCTTTTAAAAAACTGAAGAAAAACAATTAAATGGACTCAAAATAATATTTAGCTGAAACACAGGAGAATTAACTCCTTCTCAAAAGACAACATCCACCCGAAATACAATAAACAAGAAATCAATCTAGAGTGAAAATCTATGCATAATTACTTCTTAAATATATTTTAAAAAATTGGCTATGTTTCTACCTTTTTCCAGATTGAGTTTGTTGATGGCACTGTTCTCAGGAGAACCACAGCAGATGAGTTTACAGTTATCCTAATTTAGGTTTTCAGAGGACTTTTGTTCTTCAGAAAGTCATGATTAGTTAATTTATTATGAAAAAAAGTTAACGTGAAATGGCTTTCAAAGCATTCAGTGTTCTAATACTTCTGATAATCATTTTTGTGCTGCCAACTCAGAGAAACAATGTTCTACTGAGGAAAAGAATTATCCTCGTATGTCAACTATATGACAGCTGACATCCTACTGAGCAAGCTCTCTGCTTTCAGTCATCTCACTTCTAAAACAACTGAACGTCTGCAATTGTGAAGCAACTGTATTGGAATACTAACTCCTTAACATTGCTGCCATTGTCAGCTATTAAGATGCTGCTGAATATGGATGTTAAATGCCAGAAGGCAGACTAACATAGAAATACAGAAGAGAACCGAGAACTGTTTCTATCAAATAAATGACAAAAGAAAATTAAGGGCACAAAGGCACTCAAAATTGAAAAATATATGGCAGTCTTTATCCACATACATCAGGTATTATTTTTTAACTAATAACATTTTACACACACTCCAAAAAAAAAACAACCTCTACTCATTTGTTGTCGTATCATCATTCTGGTGATGAATTATCGTTAGGGAGCAGAAGAGACTCCTGTAGGTAGAGCCTTGCTTCCTTTGTGGCAAGAACTCAAGAGTAAGTATGGTATGAGACAGAAGAATGTTTTAAGAAAGAAAAATCTCTTGGGGCATAAAATCTCAGTGCTGTGTTAAGACTGAGATCCTTTCCCCACTACTGCCCAATATTATTTACACAAAACCAGACACATCACCTATGCAAAGAACTCCATGAGTAGTTACCTGAGTTTTCCTTACTATACAGTTACCTGTATTACAGCTGTTGACTCAATATGGAGAAATGCAGGATTACTTACAGTTGCAATTAAGTGAATTCAAGAGTTTTGTGCGCATACTAAACAAAAAAAAAAAAAAAACCCAGAAAAAACGGGTCACAAGTGCCTCAAGCCTGGCATTCAAACTGAGTAGTACTTCTGACCTCAATCTCCTTGTGCTCCATTTCCCTGGTTAATAATAATTCCCAATCTCAGTAGGGTGTTATGAAAATCAACATCTGAAGCACTGAAATACTGTAGCAATGAGTCTTGCAGAAAAACTGAAGAGGAAAATACCTTCACCCTCAAATCCTGATCTGTGTGGTTTATAGTAAGGCATAGGGTTACACAATGAAAACAGTTAAGGGAGAAGAAAGAAAGAAAAAAGAAAAAAAAAAGAAAAAAAGGGGAAAAAAAAAAAAGCTGATAATTAGATAAACTCTATTATTCTGTACATAACAAGGCAGAGATCCTGGGAAGAAGACAACCCAAAACCACAGAATTATGCATGATCAAGACTGTATCATTATGCATATGAGTAACCAATTTTCACACTGTCCTTAATTTCCAGAAGCTTATATCTAATCTTAAACTCCTTCAAGTCTGGTTTTATCACACACCTTTACATATGAAAACAGTATGATTTGTATGTACTGAAACTCAGTACAAGTTCATCTGACTGGGCCCATTTTAAAAGTTTGCATCTCTGGTGAAGTTTAAACAGCTGATTTTGCATCAAATTGTCCTGCCACTGCTCCACCTTTTCACTAGCTAAAATATAGCCGAAGTACCAAGGAAAGTAAGAATGCAAGGGGTAAAGGGGAGGGAATGGATAAATTCAAAAGGGACTTTCAACAACACCTAAAACTACCATGCCCTGGAAATCTGATGTGTCATGTTCCTTCACAATTAGATATTGAAACTTTTCTATGCATTTTATAGAAATAAAAAACTCCTGCTGCCACAGGTGTTCATCGCTCTTGTTTAGCCACAGACATATGATGTGGAAACACACCACCTGCTAATAGTGGGAGTTAGAAGTACCCTCGATAAATCCATGCCTCTCTATTCTGAAAAGCTGTAAATTTTAATATTGACTTGCCAAGTGCACATTATTAGACATTGCGATATTGTTTCAGTATCCTAAGCATTTTACTGAAGGAATGCATTTTTGCATATTGTTTACTTTGTTCCTTAAAGTTCTTTGTGGTTCTGTACATTTCCACACAAGTACACAAAGGAGTATAAACGATAACTTTAAATTCTCTAAAATACAATTACAAATAGGCAGCAAATACAAAATGCACAAAATAGATGAG